AGGCCTCGACAGTCCCGCTAATGGATGCACATGGGGAAATCAGCCCCCCCTCTGCACGTCGGCAGGAATCTCAGGAGCTTCGTCATCAGGTACAGGAGCGGCTGCTCCTTTGTTCTACAACTTGAGCAGTCTCAATTCAGGCCAGTCTGCAGGTAATTGTTCTATATCTACCTCCCCCCTTACTCTGCCTATGGGAATGTTTGACCCATTATACGGACATCCCGGTTATAGCGGAATCCCCGCTTCAATTTCGGGCTTCCCACAATCTTTATACACTTCAGCCGTAGGTCAAGGGGTTGTTCCCCCTCCAGGACATGCGAGTTATGTCACCATTCGTACCAACCCAGGTTTCATGCACAGATCGGGCCAAAGGGGAAGTTTTACCTCTGCACCAATTGGTTATGATCTCGGCTCTAGATTAACCGGTGATGGATCCTTCACGACAGTTGCATCAGCACTAGGTTTGAACAATCAGTCTGCCTCCCAAGCACAGTCCTCAGGGGTCTTGGCAAACCCTGTCTTCGGTCGGAGCCAGCAGCAACCAAGTATCATGCAGGTTAACAAGGAGTCGTCCAGTGGAATGCTAGTGGGATCACCCCCCATGCAGGGAGCCAGGGATAACAAGGTAGAAGCCCGGGACCTCAGTATAACGCAAGGGGATATTGCAATGAATATCTCCCATTTGGGCAGAGTAACGGAAGCAGCCCCGTGCAAATCCAGGCGTCTGGGTAAGGAAGGGGAAGGGGAGGTGACACGGGAGGAAGAGGAGGATGACATCGAGATACAAAGCATGGCATCTTCTCTCTCCTTGGGTAAGACTACAGGCCAGGAATCGGGCTCCGGGACTAGTTCCAAAGTAATAGATCGTCCGAACGAAGTGAAATCGGGGCAAACAATCACTACCACCACTTTCCTTGTGATTGTAGCCATCACTCCTTCGGCTCAGGGGTTAAAAATGATGGCCTCAAATGCACCGGAAGGCTTTCTTACTTTACCCATGATCCCAGTCTCGGTCCCTCCGTCCACTCGGTCAGTATTACTCCCCTTGCTGCAGTCCTTTTTTGGAATGAAGACGAGATATCGCCTTATCCCTGGCATTCGTTTGGGGAAGAAATCGAGAAAAATTACGGATTCCTTGTCCACGGCCTATTTTATAGTCATAGTGGATTTGAAACAATCAACGGAGACGGTGGGGGATTGGGAGAAGGACGGAGGGACTTGTATCCTGGCGGACTGGTTGGCGTCAAAGGACAATCCAGAACTGAAAAGGGTTGCACTTCAACCCGGGGTGGATGCACGATTGGTAGTGGAGTTCTGCACATCCTTACCGAGCGACAGACAACTGATGTCACCCGGATTAAGGAATGTTCTTAAAACCACTTAGTCAAAAATGCCGCCTCATAGCGACCACGACACCAAGGAGACGGAAGAATGAGCGGACTGACAAGAAAGACAAGACAACTGATGTCACCCGGATTAAGGAATGTTCGAGAACGATCAACCTGGTAAAGGGTCGTCGGGCCTGACGGAATGTCTAAAGTGAAGGTAGCTACGTGGAACGTTCGGGGGTTAGGAGACACCAGTGGTCGTCAGAAGAAAGCTACTTTCAAAAGCTGGATTCACAAAGAAGGCATACAGATCGCACTCCTCCAAGAGATAAAGTTAGATGAGCTTAAAATAGAAAAAATCCAGAAATGGTGGACGGGGCCACAGTTCTGGGGCCCAGCGCAGGACTCAAGGGGGGGAGTAGTTATTCTGATACATAAAAAGCTTAATCTGACAATCCTTGATCACATGGTAGACCTACGGGGAAGGTGGGCATGGGTTTCCTTTATTTATGAGGATAAGGAATGGGTTGTTATGTCTGTCTATGAGCCAGCGGAATATGGGGAACGTCTCTCCTTTTTTTCAGAACTACCTTACCTACTTCCAGAAATGGAGAACTTGATAATAGGGGGGGATTGGAATACACTGTTGAACCCAGGCCTAGATTCACCAGAACCCAGGAACAGTCGAGCAGATACTGTGGAACTGTTGTCTATTATTGAACAACAGAACCTGGTAGATCCTTATCGTGTGTTAAACCCTTTTGAACCAGGTTACACTTGGTTCTCCGGCCAGCGTTTCCCTGATCGGCTGTCACCACGGAGACGATTAGATTACTTCCTAGTCAGGGCAGAGGCATGGGAAACGCTCACAGATATCGATCTCCAGACACACCCTCTTTCAGGTCACAGGCCAATAGTAGCTTAGTTTCAAATGTCGGGCTCGATCAAAAGGGGCAGAGGTATTACGCGGATAATTTACAGGTCTTGGAAGTGAGAGAATGGTGTAGAAGCCACTGGAAGGACTGGGAAAGGGCGAGGGACTTGTTTCCCTCAGAAAATGAATGGTTTGACACTGGCCTTCGGATCACCACTAGAGCCTTGGACGTTTTCTCAAGGATCTTGGCGTATGGCAGAAATAAGGAGGAAGACAAGTGCAGAACTATGATCAAGGCAGCAAAGGGACACTTTGGAGAGCACCCAGTCTCAGACATCTACTGGGAACACGAACAAGACAGGTGGATGGGAAAATGGGAAGGGTTGCAGATTCGAAAACAAGAAAGAGAGCGAGGGAGAGGGGAATGCTGACAGCGGATCGAGTGACTAAGGAGAGTTTCCAACGCCTCCTTCCGCCAAAGTACCATGCCACTCTCAAAGAGTTGGACCACCCCTTTCTGGCTCAGGCGGACGTGGCCAAGGAAACCGAGACTAGCTGCAGGTACGCACAACTGTACTTCAGTGACATTCTAACTTCCCGCAGGCCTACGGACGAATCTCCGGATGATCTACGGGAAGGGAGGGACATCTGGAAAACTACTACAGTAACCTTGCCTCAATCGGACAGACTACTGTTGGATAGACCATTGACCCTGGAGGAAATAACGGAGGCAAGATGCAGTATGGCAAAAGGTAAGTGCCCTGGTGACGACGGCCTTCCGGTAGAGTATTTCGAGGTAGTTTGGGAACAGATAGCTCCGATACTACTTCGTATTTACAATAACGTTTTAACAGGTGGCCGTCTCACTTCGGATATGTCTAGAGGCATAATCTCCTTACTGTACAAAAAAGGAGAGGTCAGAACCATAAGGAACTTTCGTCCCATATCCCTCCTTAATGTCACCTATAAGATCCTGGCGAAGTCCTTGGCTAGCCGCTTAGCCCCCTACCTCCCACAGTTGGTGGCTACCGATCAAGGAGCGTTTGTAAAGGGTCGGTCCGTAATAGACAACATCATGATGGTTATTGAGGCACTGGAAATTGTGGGTAGGGAGAACACAGCAGTCGCCATCATGATGCTAGATCTTGAAAAGGCTTGAGATCGAGTTAATTGGAATTTTGTCCACGCCACTCTTGACTTGATGAACTTTGGGTCCAATTTTGCTCGCTGGGTAACAGTGATGTATTCTTCCTCCACTGCGGCAGTCCTGGTTAATGGTGTCTTGTCTGAAGAATTCTGTTTGACTCGTTCCCTCCGTCAGGGGTGCCCGTTAGCTCCATTGTTGTTCGTGGTCCAGATGGAGGTGGTGTTGAATGCAATAAGGAGGCAACCTCAGATTATTGGCTTGACAATCCGCCCCTATACCCAGGTGGTAGCCAGTGCGATCGCAGACGATCTTCTCACTATCTGTCAAAATACTGTGGAATCCCTGTCTGCCTTGAAGGAGGTGTTAGACTAGTACTGTATCATGTCAGAAGCAAGGGTGAATTGGGATAAATCAATCTATTTCTTACCGGAATCCCATGAACTGCAAGCAAACTGGGGAATGAAAAAGGTACAAGGCAGTAATGTGGACCGATATTTAGGTATTCACGTGTCCTTTTCAGACTGCCAATATACACAGGATGCCATCCTGCTGGGGAAAGTACTGGCAAGGATGGAACGCTGTAGAACATCCTACAGTCTTTCCCTCTTTGGACGTGCTATGATCTTAAACACCTCAGTGTTTCCCCTCCTCTGGTTCGTTTTTGCGATTAGGCTCTCATCAAAGGCTACCCTCTCCAAAATTCTTGAAGCTAGTGCCAGATTACTGTGGAGTCCGAACAAGAAGGAAGGTAGATGCATGTCGAAACTGGCATGGAGAAAGGTTACTACTCCGTATTCACAGGGTGGGTTAAATGTCACAGATCCAACTACTCACAATATACCTCTGTTAGGAAAGTGGATGGTTAAAATTGCCACTCAAGGAGAGGAAAGGGCATGTGTGTGGCTTGCCGAGTACATCCTGCAATACGACTGGGGATTGACTCGCAAAGAAGATGTATGGGTCTGTACTCAGATGGAATCATACCTGCGGCGGAGCTCTTCATCACAGGTCAGAGCCCATATATTGAAGGCTTGGCGCAGACTCAGACCAGTGACACCAACGGTTGACTCAAAAGCCACTGTCCTCAGACAACATCTATTTGATAATCCACAGATCCTGGACCTATTGGGAGAACCTTTCCAGGCCACATATGCCAAAGGAAGTTTTGGTAGGAAGTGGATAGAAAGGGGCGTGGTTACAGTGGGAGACCTGTGGCAGGAAGAGGAACATAGATGGTGTACAGAGGAGGAACTCAGAGGAAAGTTGGGTATGCTTCGACATGTAGGGCTAAGACTGGAGGACCTGACTTCCGCTGTACCAGACGAATGGACTACCCTTCTCAGCCAAAATGAACTTAAGGACAAAACGTGGTACCAGCTGGAGAGTGCAGAAACTGATGGTAGAGAATACGCCCGTATAGTCTCAGAGGAGGAGGACTTGGTAATAGTTGAAGAATGGAAAAGCCAGTTTGAAGGAAGTGAGTATATATGCTATGAAGGAACTACAGCGAGAAGGCCTCAAGAACTAAAAGCTCAGGTGAGAGTTGAAATCCCGCACAAATGGCGAGGGGGTAAACCAGTCAAGTTGCTGTGCGGAGGTCTCCCGGTACAACAAGTTCGTTTGGATCCTCATGGACAACGGTGGACAAACGTAGGCCCCAAGCATGAAACGGTTTTCTTGTCGGCTTACACACCCAAGATTGGTTCGACTCTGTTGAGAACTCCTGTGGAATCAGAGCAACGGACATGGGAAAAACTGAGAGATTTGTTGGGGACTTCAGACATTCTGCAAATAAGTCACCTGCACTTACTTTGGGAACAGTTGCAGAATCTTCCCTCCTGGAAACACGCGGGCCTTTTATGGATGCTATCTCGAGGAATCATCCCAACTACAGTCTGGTTGCAACAGAGAAAGATGGAGGTGGAGACCCTCTGTGCACAGTGCGGAAGAGCTGAGGAAAATGTTTGTCACCTCTTCCTGGACTGCCCAAAGGCGCAACAGCTGTGGACCTGGTGGAGGCACCACTGGCAAAAGTTCACAAATAATGCGATGTCGTGGAGCGACGACTGGGTCTTGACCGGCCGTCTACCACTCAATTTGAATGCCCAGAGGGGCTGGGGATACATTGCACAGGTAGCAAGGGCGATCCTGATTTGGGTGCTATGGCAGGAAAGAAATGCTAAGATTTTTAGGGATGAAGAGACTCCACTGCCGATGAGACAGTTGGAAGTGCGGTTTCAGCTCAGGATTGCAGCGCAAGTGGATTGGGTTCGAAGGGTAAGTAAAAAAAAAACGGCCAGGCGAAAGTTTCAGTGGTTTCTGTCAACTTGGGCACAGAGGAATCAGTTAGCAGCAGTTAAAACGCAAGGGCAGCTGTTGTTGGGTCCTTGGCTCCTGCATGCTCGTTCAACCTGAACACTCGGTTGCAGTACAGTCCACAGTAGGACGGCAGTTGGGAGGTTTTGGGTTGGAGGAAGGAGCGTGATGTGGGGAGGGGGTTATGCCGAGGTAGTGTTATACCTCGGGCCGCCCCAAGTAGTGCCCAGGGGTAGGGATCAGGAGTGACGTTTAGCTCCCTTTCTGGGTTTTCCTTCTAGGTGTGACGAGCGTTATTGGGTTTTGTTTTCGGTGTTGTGTTTGTAGTAGTATTAGGTAGGTAGGTAATGGGGTGTTTTTTTCCTTGCCCCTCAGGGGCAGGTTTATTTTGAGTGACAAAAGGGGTCTTCCTATGCTACAATCTAGGCTGGTGAGGTGAGATTTAGCTGGTCTAGACCTGGTCGGAAGGGGGTTAAATTTTCTTCTGGGCTTTTCTTTTTTTTCCGGGATAATGTGAGGACCCGGCCTCAAATTTTTTTCATGAGCAATCAAGTTTCTCTTTTCTCAAAAAAAAAAAAAAAAAAAAAAAAAATATTGTTGTTGTTGTTGATGTTGCTGTTGTTGTAATTGCCGTCGTTGTTGATGTCGTCCCACACGCTCTCAACACCCATTTCACCCGATCCCATCAACCCCAAATCCCCCTTCACAAGCCCTAACAAGGTCGTAGTTCCCTCTCCCTTCGCTGTTGGCGGCATCTCTCCCCTGTTGTTGTTGTTGTTGTTGTTGTTGTTGTTGCCGTTGGCAGCCTCCCCACCCTTCTCACCAATCTCACCCATTACCTGCCTCTCATCCACTACAACCATCACCCCTGCCGTGATCACCATCATGATGTTGTTGTTTTTTTTGTCATTAGTGTCGTCAGCCCTCCCACTGTTGTCACCGGTCTCGCCCATCACCTGCCTGTCCTCCACGGCAGCCACCGCCTCTGCCATGATCTCCTGCGCAACCTCCCACTCCTCTGCCCGGTCACCATCCCACTGCTGCAGATGAGTGACAGTCTCAATGTGGACCTGAAATGGGCTCATCCTCAGATTCTCCCACCATCCACCAAACCCCCCATTGAAGTTGTTGTTGTTGATGGTATTATCGTTGTTAATACCGTTGCAGATGTTGTTATTGTAGCTACCAGCCTATTTCTCGCCAAACTTACCCATTCTCTGTTCCTTATCCACGTTAACCCCCGCTTCTACCATAGACCCCTGCTCCTCCTCCCCCACCTCTGGCTGGTCACCATCCCCCTGCAGCACGATGTCTTCATCATCCTGCAATCCCCCATCCTTGTAGACCACGGTAAGATGTGCAAAGTGTTTGGCCACATCGCCCTCATTCTGCCCATCAACCTCTCGCTGGCAGTCGTCATCATGCGTGAAAAATGGCATCGCCGTCATCATCATGCGTGAAAAATGGCATCGCCGTCATCATCATGCGTGAAAAATGGCCACATCGCCCTCATTCTGCCCATCAACCTCCCACCTGCTCATCCTCCCCGCTTCCCCCATCCTCGTAGACCGCGGTAAGATGCGCATAGTATTTGGCCACATCGCCCTCATCTTGCCCATCAACCTCTCGTTGGCCGATGTCAACATCCGTGTATAAAGGCGTGTCGCCATCCTCATCAGTGTCAAAGTAGACCGCGGTAAGATGTGCATAGTATTTGGCCACATCGCCCTCATCTTGCCCATCAACCTCTCGCTGGCCGACGCCATCGTCCGTGTAAAAAGGCATGTCGCCGTCCTCATCAGTGTTAAAGTTGATGACGTCTTCTTCCACCTGCTCATCCACTTCGCTTCCCCCATCCACGTAGACGGCGCTAAGTGCAAAGTAATTGATCACATCCACCTCATCTTGGCCATCATCCTCTCTGATCCAGACGTCATCAACCATGTCAAAAGACGTATCTCTATGATGTATCTCCCCCACCAACCCCCTCTCTAACCCGGAAAAGTGTGCCCCTATTCGTGTGCTCATCGTTTCCACGGCTGGCGCAACCCTTGTCCACGCATCGTCGGTCATTCACGACACCTACAGCAGGTGCCACGTGGCCATTCAAAGAGCCGCAGGCATCTGCCGGGCACGCACTACAGCCCCAGCAACCGGGGAGCTCCTCTCCCCGGGCGCTAGTCTAGCTAGGAGGACCGGGCCTCGCCGGTCTGCCGGCATCAGGGCGCCGGCGCGGTGCTCTAACCACTGAGCTACCAGACCAACTCAAGACTGCACTTCTATCCAACCCCTCATTCTAGGTATCCCTACCAGCCCAGCCAGATCCAAACCTAGCTATGATGTCCTCCTATCCAGGCCTATACCTGGTCTCACACCCCCAATCAAACTAGGTTACAGGGCAGCACGACCCACCCGAGCTCCGATAATCATCGACCTGGCAATAGCGCTTGGTCAGTCACTGGATTGCCTTCCACCCTTGGCAATCCCCAGATCTCTCTACAAGGCCTCACGCCCCTGTGTACACAGGTTACAGGGCAATGCCCCCGCAGTGGCCACCGTCGTTCTGGCATCGAAAAACCTAGACCTCTAAATATGCACAGCTACCTCTGAAGATAACTAAGCCGATACTGACACCCGAAATGCTGGATCTGACTTTCATGGAATCCTGAGAGATGATGACAATCTGGATGATGAGACAAATGAAGATCTTTCTTTCCCCCCTTCTTCTTTTCCTCATGCACCACCGCTGCCTTCGCCAAAAAGGATTCCTCTTATCACAAACTCACCTCCTTAGCCCCAACTATGGGCAGACGCGCATCTCTCCCTTGCTCCTGCAAAAACATCCAGTCCCCACGTAGAGTGTGCTTCTGTCAACCCTTTGCATTTATCTGCCACCACCGGGGAATGATGCAGACCAATACATCTCCCCCAGCCCCAGAAAAAAACATCACTCAAAATTCGCCTTCACTTTGTCGAGGGCATTCACCTCCCACCTTGTGCCGCCCTTGCAGGGTTAAGCTCGCCTCCCCCCGGAAAACCCTAATCCACACCAGAAAGGTTTTTTTTTTTTTTTTTTTTTTTTTT